AGACCCGCTCCGACTCTGACTGGCTGACTGAATGCTGCCGCTGCTTCTGCTGCTGCTGCTGCGATGTATCTGTGTCCTCTCTCTCTCTCTCTCTCTCTGGGTGTGTGTGTGAGAGTATCTTCTGCTCCAATGTTTCTGTCTTCCCGCATTTGGCTTTGTGATTGTGATGGATTGTGGCATTGCCAACGAAGGAGTCGCCGCAATGACGACTCTGTTGCACTGTCATTTTTGAACTTTTCCAAGCGCCAACAACAAAAAAATTATGGAGTGTTTGGGTGCGGGAAACAAATAAGAATATATGGAAATATCGGGGACTATTATCAACATTTAAAAGAGGAAATAATGAAGAGAGAGAGAGGGCTGAAATTGGTTGAAATGCTAATGAATGAATGACTTACCTTCGAAAATATATATTTTTGGCGACTGCGACGTCAATGCTTAGTTTTTTCATCAGATCCTGAAAAGAAAAACCAAGAAATGTTAATAAAAAACCGAAATCAAGGTGGAAAATTTATGCTATTCAAAATATTACTCCAAAAATAAATAAGATCTGCAAAGAAGTGCTAGTAGAAGACTCTTAAAAGTACTTATTTGCCCGAAGATCAAGCTATAAGACTCTTCTGCAATATTTATATGATATCCAACCCATTTGATCCCATAGTTCCCCATTCTCTTACATGTTTAATCCTCTGCCAATAAAATTATTGCATTTCCTTGGCTAAACAACAACTCATTAAAGACCTATTCCCCGAGTCCTTAACTTCCTAATGGCACCAAACAGTTGTTGGCTTGCAGCCAAAGCAAACTCCATAAAAGTGCAGCCCCCAAGCCCCACAGAGTGCCACCCCTGCTCCTGGAGGAGAGAGAGCGATGCCTATCGGATAGACCTATAAATAAATTTGCCATTTACAAAAGTCACAAAAAGAGGCAGTCAAACGGTGGAAATATTTGAAAATTAATGCAAAGATACACAAAATACGGATGAAAAAACACGCATACGCAGTGGGTTGCACAGCAGGCAAGGGTTTGAAGAGAGAGGGAAAAGCAATAAAAACGACAGACCATTGAAAGGGGGGAGAAAATGTCGCTTTATGGACGACATTGTCAAACAAATGGGGCAAATACTGGGAAGGCCTCATCGCCTGCTTGTGATTCCAGGTCTTCCTGTGGCTGGTGCTCCCCTCTCTCTAGCCTCCTTCTGGGGCTCCTTCTGCTAGTTCCGTTGCAGGTTCTTGCACCTGTCTCCAAGTCCTTCTTCTGCCTCTGCACCTTTCGCCCTGAGGCCAACGTGTAAGCAATAAAAGTGCAGAGACATCCTTTGGATGGAGTCGCCGCTTTGCATTAGGTACTCCCCGCACCCCTGGCACAAAAAAACGTTGCTACATTTCCATTGATACCCTGTACTCAAGGGGCATATAACTTTTAACTGTGAATTGGGATAGATTTCTTGTGTTTTTCTAAGGACTTTTAGGCTTATAAGGATACTTTTTTCAATTGCTAATCTATAAATATATATTCTCTTCTCTTTACAGGTAAGTTTTCGAATGCCAAGTCTTAATTTTTGTTGGGATTTATTCCAGAAAAAGTGTAAGTAAATATTTTACATATTCTCTGAACTATTGAGGCTCTCCTCAGCTACTCCGCCACTACAGGGTACTTTCTGCTCTTTCTACTGCTATTTGCAATGCGCTTTTAATTTGACCGCGTCTGACGACGCCGCTCGGCGAAAGGCCTTTCCTTTGCCAAGGCAGCGGCGCAGAAACTTAATTTTCCACCGTCGCTTGTTGTTGTTGTTTTTCGTTTTTGCATTGGCAGCGCAGGGAAAAACTTTCGACTTTCCCGCCACTCGCTGAAACTTTGGCCGTTTTCTCGTTGTTTTTGTTGTTTTTTTGGCTATTTGTTGCTTCGTTGCGCCAGACGATGACGATGACGACAAAACCAATCTATCCCTTAGCTCCCTGTCCCTGTCCCTTTCCCTGACTATCCCTTTCCCCTTCCTCCCCCGTGGAGCTTGTGTTTTGGGATGACAACATTTTAATATAGTCGGCGAATGCGGCCACATTGGCCGACTGCCATTTACTGAGGCTTCCTTAGACCTAGACTTGAGGCACAGGCCCCATCCTTGGATGTGTCACGCAATTTTGTTACCTAAATAAATTTCATTTCATTGGGTTTTTTTCCCCTTTTCCTATAAATATATGTAAACGATGCATTTTCCACCGATGAGAGATTTTTAATATCCTATACTTCTCAGATATTTTCCATGATTTCATTGTTTTATTCAATTTATTGATTCAGTAAGGGAAATGAAGCCATTCCCTTTTTGAAATAACTTTTAGTATTTTTAATATTTCTGGTATATTTTAGTATTTTTGTTAAGTCAGTATTTTTAATCTTCTTTAATCAATTTCTAGCATGTTTAGTATTTTTCGGTATTTTTGAAAACTAGTATTTAAGTGTTTTTAGATTAATTTTAATGAAGTTCTACTTAAATTAGCATTTCAGTACTTTTAGTATTGTCGGAAAATAGTATTTAGAGAATTTCTGGTATATTTTTGTATATTTATCATGTCCGTATTTTAATTCTTCTTTAATCAATTTCTAGTATGTTTAGTATTTTTGGTATTTTTAAGTATTTTTTTAATTATAATTTCAATAAATTTAATTTGAGTTAATTTAGTATTTTTTAGTCTTTCAGTGTTATTTTAGTATTATCGGAAAATAATCAGTCGGATTATGACTGAATTTCCATGGGAATACCATCAAGAAAAACCCCATCGTGTAAAGGCATCATCGCGTACCGCTTCATCGTTTCTCATTTCATCGAGCGCCGTTCCATGCAGTTTATGAACTCTGGCAACTCTGGGCGCGCCCCCTGTAAATTGTCTCCATGCCTCCACGCTCCTCTGCTACTTAAGACGTTGTCCTTTGACTCAACCTTTGGTCCTGGTCCTGGTCCTGGCCCTACTCCTGGCCTGCACCACACCAATGGCGTCTGGCTTCCTCCTTTTTTCTCTGGGCAAATATTTTGCGTTTTGGCAAAATGACACCCTTTGGGTGAGGGCGAGGGAGAATCTTTTTGGCTAAATTCAGTTTATGGCTAGTTTTTTGCCCTTCTGATTGCGTACTTAGCCGCCGTTTCCTGGGGGAAATTAAAATGTGCTTAACGGAGTAAATAACCGAACCAGAAACAGGGGCAGCGAAACTTTAAGGAGGGCTCAAACTTTGACATTCAGAGAGGTAAAAGTTGGCATTTTTTTGGGAATTTATTTCATTCCATGTTCGCGATTGTGGAAGATTTAAATATCTATATTTTGGGAACTTGTTCGTTACTCTATTCTAAAGATTCAGAGAGCTATCCCTATTCTGGGATTTTGGTAGAATTTTCTCCTCTCAATTTCCTTTATTTCCCAACAATTTTCTCTACCTTGTGCTGCACTTCTTTATGGTTACATTTTTTGTGTCTCTGTTTGAGCATCACAAATATTATTTCATTTGCTTTTGCAATTTTTCGCGCTCTAGGGGCGCTATGTTATTCGAGTGCATATATTGACGACTGGGGAAAAAAGTCAGGGAGTGAAAAGCAATCGCTATCCATCCATCGGGCATGTCGTCTGGCACTCGCATTGATTTGGGGCTTGAAGTATCACTCCACTCCGCCTTGCCATTCGATTCGCTGTGCCTTTCTCAATGCTAATGAAGGGCTTGAGGGGAGAGGGATGCATGGGGATGCATAGGGGTTGGGCTGGTTCAATGACTCGCTTGCAAGTTGAATGCATTCATGGGTGCCGTTTTGAGTGCATGTCATTCAACTGCAAAGATTCACAAGTATCTTTTATCAATCAATATTTTCTTGATGTATGCGGTAATCGTTAGAATTCAAGGGTATTTTGAATTCGTTCAAGGGTCTGTTATACATACACCGGAAGGATGCATGTCCTTTCGTATAGTATGCTTCCATGTTAGAGCAGAAATCAAGAAAAACAAGGAAGTGTTATACTTAAATTGGAAAATATAAAAATATACAAAAATTCGAGTTCTAAAAAATAACAAAAATAAACTTAAATGCTTGCAATTCTTTAAAATTAAATCTGAAATAATAAAATATACAAATAAATCAATAAAAATATACTAAAATTACTAAAATGGTAAAAACAAATGAATTAAAGAAAATTAAGATATTAAAAATAAATCAAAATACTAAAATATACCAAAAATCTATAAAAACAGTGCAAAAATATTATAATTCTAAAATACAAGATATTTAATAAAAAAATAAATAAAAATACTACAAGAAAATATTTAAATAAACGAAAACTTTAATAAATCAATAAAAATGCCAAACATAAGACAGATACTAAAATATTAAAAAAAAAAAAGAAATTCATTAAACAAAATAAAGATATTAAAAATAAACTAACATACTAAAATACCCCAAAATTCTCTTAAAATACTACAATTCAAGAAATTTGTTAAATGAAATAAATATACTAAAGGAAAATATTTAAATATACTAAAATTCTATAAAAATATCAAATTCTAAAAACTAGAAATTCATTTAAAGACAATTAAAATATATAAAAAAAAATACCAAAATATACTAAAGTATAAAGTAAAGTAGAGCTACCATCGTACTAAAATTCGTGACAACCGGAGTATCAGAGCACCCAAAAAAAAATGATGTAAAAGATGTTACCATTTTACATGACAACTAAAAAAATTCTATAATAAAAATTCTAAAAGCTATTCTATTCATGTTCAAACGAAAGTAAAGAATTTCGTGTGCATCTCTTCAAATTCGAAATTCCCTCTGCCTCTGAATGCCTGTCGTAATTCTACTTCTCAAAAATTGAACTCAAATTCAAATCCAAGTCGCGACCTTCAACCTTTGCGCTCCTCTTCCAGGAAATCTCTATTCCATATTTTATATAAAATTGGAGCCGGAAAATAGCCTCCAGTTATTTGTGTGTGAAAATCAAAAACAGAGCCAGAGTCGAAAATAAGGAAAAAGCAAAGATATGGTTTATTAAATATTTGAAGCCCGGGGCGGCCGTCACACACGACCACACGGCGGAGGCGAGATGGAGAGAGGCGGGGAGGCGGGGAGGGGCACTGTGCCTCGAAGGGCAATTGAATCTTGAAGCCATTGCATGACACCGCATCGATGGTGAAAATTGTGCTAATGATTTCGTTGGTGGAGTCTTCTTGCCAGCAGGAACAAAGGAAAGAAAGTCTCTCTCTCTCTCTCCCTCTCTTTCTCATGCTTTTTTGTGGATGACACTCGAGACTGTCTGGAGAGGAGCGAGCTTGAAAGATACTTTCAAGTGGACGCGGCTGATTGGTTCCTTGCTGCCGCCTGCTGTCGAAGCTGCACTCTTCGCTGCTGATACTGGGCCTCCCAGTAGGCCTCCAGCCATCTATCGTCCCGCCGTTCCCTTGGATCCACCGTCAGAAGCCCTTCCTGCAGATCCGCATCGATATTTTCATCCGATGGTTCGGGCAAGTCATTGGGTTTGGCTCCTAGAAACAGTGCCAACTGGTAGATGCCCAGCGCCAGGAGACCGACGATCCATCCCAGCACTACCCCAACGGCCATGCTTGCGGCGGCCCTGATGAAGTCTCCAAAGTCCGAGCGGAGTTCGCGGTGGAAAAAGGCAGTGCGTTTTGCCACATATCCCAAATAATCCATATTTTTGTGGTTGTAGAATTTATGGGAATATTCACAATAGAATTTTGATGGGTGACGGTGTTGTTGTTTTTGTGGTGGGGGGAAGGGGGAAAATTCTAACGGAAAATGATAGTGTAATCGAATGACAGTTCTTATGAGACGAAAAGCAAAGAAAAGGGCATCTCGGATCGGAGTTTTCCTTGGGATTTCCCTTTGTTCAAAGGTATCCCTGATTTTTCCTTCAGTTTCAAAGTCAGTTCAAAGTATTTTGTGATCCGGTTTCAAACAGCAAGCAAAATGGTTATGCTAAATCCCATTGAAATCGTCTGCTTCTATGTGGTGCAGCCCATCCTGGACTATCTGACGTATCTGATGCTGGAGGTGCACTATGTGGCCTATCTGGCCGGCCTGGCAGTCATCGGGATCGTCTTGGGCCTCGTCTTCAGCATCATATCGGTGATCTGGTACAAGAGCACACTGAAGGATCTACCAGGGCAGCCAACCGTTGCTGTGGAGCATGTTCACAGCCCTGAAGGTCCTGCCAAGAAGAAGGACCAGAAGCAGGACTAGAACAAACAGATGAAGACTACAAGGCCTTCCGACTCTCTCTTTCTCTGTTCTACACAAATCATTCAAGGCGCGTCACAGAAGAAGACTACAGAATAAAGGGCATAAGGAATCAACAGAATGATGGTTTATTGGGCTTGAATCGGGGCTTAGCAGGGGACTTATAGGAGGACTTGAAGGTATAACCCATCAATAACCATTGTGGCTTTCCTCTTGCTTCTCTCTAAAAACAGAAGCCCAGTTTCACTTTCCCCAAAAGATTCCTTCCCCACAGAAGCTCCTTTCTGTTCCATTCCTTTCGTTCGTTTCGACTGCATTGTGTGGCTCTTCACTTGACAAGAGACTCCTTTGCCATTCAAGACACTGTCTTACCCGCAGTTATTAGCCTACTTTCAACAATTTGGCAACGTTGCAGTCTCCTCCTCTCTCTCCCCCTCTCTCTCTCTCTCTCCCCCTCTCTCTCTCTCTCTCCCTATCCCTTTACTTCATTGTTTTTTAACGTTCCCCTCTCCTCCCCTCCCTGTCCATGAGGCATTGTCTAGTTTTGAGGCAAAGCCGCAAGCCGTTTACCACCCCAACCACTTGAGCAAAATGCTTACAACATTTCAGAAACAGAAACAGAAACTCACTTCCAAGACTACGGCGAGAATCTCCCAACAAGGGGGGGTGTGGCTGAGAGAGTGTGTTTTTTACTTGCATACCCTGTATGTGGATAGAATGTAAGGGTATATTGGAACAAGATACTTTTCCGACTTTTTTCAGCTTTTGTACAAAATACGTTCCAAGACGAGACTCAAGTTTTACCAAATTTCCAGTGAAATACGGCTTCCTAATCCCTGTATATCTTTTAAAACAGATTAAACACAACATTTGTATTCGAAAATCCGCTCTTTCCATCTCTAAATATCAATAAAAATCTTATACCCCCCTTATTTTTCAAAATAAAATCGATTTAATTACCTCCAAAAAAGCACCAGGGTATCTTCTAGTCGTAGCCCTCAAGTCTTGCACTTTTTTGTACTCTCCTTTTCGGAGAGAGCGAGTTATAATTGCGAAAAAGTATTCAATGCAATGAAAGGGGGAGGAGGGGAATGAAGGAGGCATGAAAGAAGCCCCCGCTGAAAGACAGAGCACATCGCAGCAGCCGCCAGCCGCCGTCGTATTGCCCGTCGCAGAAAATTGAATGAGAAATCTGTAGCCCGAATGAATGGGAAAATGAATGAAAGACAAAAGTGTTTCGCGTTGGAGGTGGCGTGGGGGTTGAGGGCATTTAATCACCAATCCCACACACACACCCCACCACACCACCACCCCAGCACCCCACTTAGGCCGAAACCCTCGCATAATTCATTTAGTGGGTGGCACTGAATGCAAAGCTTAAGCTTAAGAGGGGGTGGTGCCAGGGTGCAATGCTGCAATGCGGGTGGATGGCGGCACCCAAAAGGCGCTTAGGGCCCAGCCATAACTGCACTCCCCCTCCCCTTCTACCGTCCCTTTGTGACAGTCTCATAATCGTAGGCGAGACACAAAACAGCTGTCAATGGGAGGTCGTGGCAGATTTTTGGGAAATGCACTTTGACACGACGCCGGACACCCCCTGCACCTTCTGTGGGTTGAAGGGGTGTGAGGTGTGCGCCTTCCTTGATACATAAATAGCACAAAGAAAGTCCCAAATCAAACGGGAACCCATCGTAGCGCATACTCCACCCTTGATTCCCTTCAAAAAATCAATTTTCCCTCAAAATCTTAACCCTTTCTGGGTATTTCTGGTACTATTTTGGTCCTATCCCCATAGAAATATCAAATCTCTTTCACTTTTTTGGGCATGAGTGTGTGGGTGGCGGCTGCTCTGCGCGGATTCATTAAGATTTTTCATTTCATTGAAACATGAGGATTTTGAGTAGAGATTTTTCCATCATATCATAAAATACGGGTGCCTCCGCCGCCTCCGCCGCCGCTGCCATAGAAATATATTTACAATTTTCCCCGTGACGTGCGTAATGATGCCGCCGAGGCTTAGAGATGAATGGAGGTCTGGCCCTCGGGCTCCTGCCTTCTGCCTCCTGGTTGGAGTGGATGCCATGCGAGTGAGGATTTTCGTGCTGGATTTTCCATGGGGTTTTTGTGTTGTCTAGGCAATGCCTCAGCGCACATTTTTCCATATGCAACCGCGGCGATGGCTGCATTTTCCGGGCACTCATTTTACACCCAACCTCTCGCGCAGCCTCCTGTCTGTCTGTCTGTTTGTCTGTCTGTCTTTCAGTCTCGTCTGAGGAAGACCTTGCGGTGCATTGAACTTTCTATCTCGTTTCGAACAGCTTTCTGGTGTTTCCTGCAGTTCATTTGCTCTTCTTTTTTGGTGCGGAAAAATTCTTTATATTTTATTTGGGAAATTTCATATTTTTTGGGGTACTTTTCGTACACTTTTGCTTAAAGAAATTATCTGTAATTAGTGGATGTAATTACCACCCATAATTCGGTCTTTTCCCTTTGAGCGGTAAGGATATTCAGGGTATATATCCACCCGATTTAGGGGAGGATTCTGCACTTCCAAAACATCAGAGCAGAGGTCTGAAAAACCATGAAAACTACCTCCCAAATGTCCTATTTATAAAGTGCTTTCTATTATTCTTGAAAAATGTGTCTCCTTTTGACGAAAGATCCTCCTGAATGTCGAAACTATAAAGCCTTTTCCACTATCCATTCGTTTTCATAGCTTTTCCAACACACAATTCCCTTGCATAGTGTTCCATAGCATAGCCTTTCTGCAGCTAATGATTTAATTTATGGAAATGACTCGCCTAATGGATCCATCATAATTCCCAATAAATGCCCGAAAAAACCCCTTTGGGGAAACACAGTCATTCCCTCCAGTCATGTGGCACAAAGTGGAGTATCAGCGACAGCGGAAGAGACCCACGCATGTGGGCTATCGAATTTTCCTACAGTCCACCGCTTGGCTGCTCTACGGCATCGCCTACGGCTGCAATTTCTTCCGGGCAAAGTGGAACCCCTGCGCCGGACGCCTCGAGGAGCGACAGTACAATCGGATAGTTTACAAGCTGATCATTATCCTGAAGATAGTGCTCATCGCGAGCCAATATCTGGTGTACTTTGTAATGCTTCTGGCCGTCTACATTCACTACTCGCTCGTGGAGAAGAGCAGTGCCCAGAACTTTGTGATGGGCACCTTTTCACAGGGCATCGAATACAATGTCTTTCGGCGACTGGTCATCTTTTTGCACCTCAAACGGGACCGAATATTCGTGAGGCAGACGGTGAATGAGATCCTTCGGATATCGGAGGAGATTGAGCAAAAGTTCGGCCTCATCTACCACTGCGATGCGAGTCTTTTGGGTGTGTATTTCCTGAAGCTTTTCCTGCTCTACGTGCACATCAGTTCGTACTTGTACAAGTCCTACTTTCTGCTCATCAATCTCCTCTATTGGATGCTCCTCGAGTACTGCTTCATGGGCTGGTTCCTCTACCAGCAGCTGCTGCTCAATTGGTACCGGAATATCACCACCTTCCTGCAGCGCTTCATCGACGATCACAAGGATCGGCAGGGGATCCTGGGCCGCTATCATCGGCGTCTGTTCTGGCTCTTTGAGCTCCATCTGCGCATCAATAACCTCCATCGGAGCATCAACGACAGCCTCTCGTGGCTGTCCACCTCCATCTATCTGATGATCTTTGTCTGCAGCTTCCGACTGGAGCTGCTCATCGAGTGCATCATGTTCGGTGAGGATGAGCTCGAGAACAAGCTCTACATCATTGCCGACGGGTGTCTGGGTCCCGTTTTCATACCCCTTCTGTATGTCCTGCTCATAGGACTCTGCACAGATCGCTTGCGCGATGCAGAGCTCGTGATGCAGCAGCAGATTGTCATCATTCACGGGCTGTACATTCGGAAGGCCCCCTCTCGTACTCAGGCCATAAAGCTCCTCTACAACGAGGTGAGTTCTGGAAGTGCCTTCGGCCCGCAAAGAGTCCTAATCGATTGGCTTTCCGTAGCACACATCGCTGATCATCCATCAGAAGCTGGAACCTCTGCAGAATTTGATTATTTTGGGCACCACCTGCGATCGAGGCTTCGCCTTTGATTATCTCTTGACGGCCATCCTCACGGCTCTGTCTTTTATCCAGTATACCCTATCGTGTGGTGACTATCCCATCAATGAGTGTGCAACGCACAAGTAGAGGAGGAGTACAGGGGGAGGCGGGAGAAAATGATGTACGATCTATAAGCAGTATATATGCGAATATTTTCATAAATAAATCAAAGTTCTGTGGGAATTTAATTATATATTATGATCATTCCATCATAAATCGAAAAATTCGATGGCTTCATAAATTTAATCAATTGATTTTCTCGTATCAATTATTGAACACACCCCAAATCGATCATTTTCCATATTATTGTGTATATCGATTATTTATCGAACTTTATCGATACAGTTTTTTGTGATAAATATTCGTTGGATGCCTAAATAACCTTTTTTGATACATTTTAGGCAACAACTAATCGTTAATCGATAACTAAATGGTATATCGATGTTTAGTAGCACGCTAATCGATTGCTTTTGGTTTAATTCCATGTATAAACTGTTTTAATCCATCAAAATCTCATGGAATATTGTTCTATTTCCCAAAGTAAAATATTTCAAGAATATTTCTTCGTCGTTTCTTTATCGAACTTTATCGATAACTTTTTGAGTGATAAGTATTCGTTGTAACTCTTTTCGATAACTTTTAGGCAATATCGATGTTATATCGATGTTTAAAAGAACGCCAATCGATTATTCTTTGGGTAGTTCCAAACTTTTCTCTAGAATAACTGTTTTAATCCATAAAAATCTCATATAATATGGTTTCATTTTCCAAATAAGTAAAAATTGACATGTAATCGCACGGAAAACGATAACTTTGCCGATTTCTCTAGCTATTAAAATGTGTTTCCACTCATTTTGAAGCATTTCGGAATAGTTTTTCCCCCCACCTTGAAACCATCCAATCATCAATGACTCTTCAGTTCGACTACATTTCCATTCTGTGGCCTCTTTTTTCGCTATATTTCAAACTCTCCGACAAAATTCATGCAAGCATCTGTCAGGCCCACACTTTCGCACGCCATTTATCAAGAACTTATCATCCAGCAGCTCTCATACCCCGCACTGACACCCACTCAATGGACCCACACTCTGCCTCCCACCCCTCTAGAGGGGGGGGGACTCTCCATCGTGCGTCTAGCAACAGTTCAAACAATCAACAGTCACGTACCATTTTTGACGGTTTACTTTTTGGCCAAAATAAAAAAAAAGAGGCCCGAGAGTACGTGAAATATTCAATTTTTGGATACATTTTGCCGGTACATTTAAATTTATTTTTACAACCCCACAAAGGAGTCCGGACCCCCACGTGCCGGCAGCCCCATAGACGATAAAATAATAATCGATTTAGACTTTGGTTGGAGTTTCGTCCATCGCCCACAACTCATCGGCGAGGGCAGCCCTGCCTCCTCCGCCGCCATCCAGAGACGTGGAAAAATGGAGCAACTCTTGGGAGGGGGAGGGCGGCACTTCCTGCGGGGAATCGATTTCTCTCGCTCTCTCAGACTTTGGGAAATTTATGCGAATTCGAATTTGATATGGTTTAAACTGTTTGCCTAGGAAACGACTACAACGACGACGACGACTTTGACGACGACGTCAGCCATGCAAATGTTCTGATAAGAGCAGCTTCCCCCCACCCCTCAGAAAGGGGAGTGGGCGTGGCTATATGCCTATGGCTTTGTCGCCTTTTTAGTGGAAAATTAATTTGCTATAATTCATCAATGGCGCAAAAAAGGCGGAGCGAGAGGGAAGGAGGGAAAGAGGCGGCAAAACGGCCGGCAGTCTGGCAGAAAGGATTATTTTGCATAAAAAATTGTGGCACTTGTCGAATTTTTGCATAGTCTGCTTTTGGGGCTGCTGCTTCGAATATTCGAGTGTATGCGTGGGTGTGTCTGTGTGTGTGTGTGGGTGTGTGTGTGTGTGGGTGTATGTAAGTGACGCACTTTGTATAATTTATGGCTGCACATTTATTTTATTGAGTTTAATGTGGGCACAGTTGTTCCTGCCGCCGCTGGAACCATTTCGGAAAGGTGTAAAGGTCCCCCCCCCCCCACACAGAGAGAGTGGAGAGGGGGTGGGGAAATGTCTGTGGGTTTGAAGGGCAGGGGCCCAAATGGGCAACCATTTGAAGGCTTTGTTCTGCCTGAGAAAATGTATTACAGCAATCCAGGGATGAGGGCTTTCGGCTTTCGGTTCCAGGCACTTCAATAAATTGGAACCAGCTCGAACCAGTTCCAAAGGAGAAATGGTTCCAGGGCAGCCTCCTTTAGAGATTGATGAGGCACTGTATTTGGGAGAAACATTGATAGAAGGACTGTGAAAGACCAGAAAATAGGTAGAAAGAGGTTCTTCGTGTTTGCTAAGGCCCAAAAAGGGACTGGCTCTATACAATTCGGACCTTTAGAGACCCGTACTCGAATTTCAAGCCCAAAGCACTCTTTCGAAACTATATTCAATGCCTAGGAACCCTTCTTTGATGGAATAGACGAAGATTTGAGAAGGGAAATATTATTTCTAAGCATCTCAAAGAACGAATCTCCACGTTCCAGCTCCGAATATTTCCCAAAAAAGCCCCCAATTCCAACCCTGCAAAAGTGCTTGCCATTAAATTTAATAATGTCAATTAAATGAAATATGTTCTCGAAGCAGAAAACACACAAATTAGATCGTTAGCCCCATCCCCCCGTAAATCCCCAACAAACTCAGCCCCGAATGAAAAATAGACCCCATTCAACGCCGGGAACTATCCTGTCGCCTGGAGAGAGGGAGAGGGAGAGAGAGGGAGACCCCTACTCGCACTCCTATTCGTATTTTCCAGCAACTAATTAAGCATTCAAAAACGTTTTGGCATAAAGTTTAAATTGGGTGGATCCAGGGCCCCCTCCCCCCCTGCATGGCAGTGGGTTATCCATAGCTGGAGGTTCGAAATAGCGGGATTCGGGGTCTGCTGTTCGGGGTTTAGCTTTTCACTGGGTCTGTGGGGCGTGGGGCAGGGGCAGGGGCAGGGGCAGGGGCTAAAATCCAATAATAAAGACGACGCAGCAGTGCTGTCATAAATTATGGCAAATTATTAAGCAAAAGTCACCAAAAACAGAAAAACTTTTGCCGCCGCACGCGCGGCCAAGTCCCACTAAAACATTGCGTGTACGATGGGGGGAGGGGCGTATGCGACGGGGAGGTAGAGAATGATTTATTTTTATTATTATTGGCGGTGAATTTTAAATCAAAAAGCTCTCTCTCCCTCTCGCTCTCCCTCTCGCTCTCTCTCTCTCTCTCTGTGGCTGTGGGAGGCTCGATGCCCGAAAAAGTATGCTACACATTTTGTAAGCTGCTTTCGAAGTCGAAAATACGGCGCCAGCTGCTTTTGTCATTATTAATAACTGTTAATTATTCACCATTATATAACTACTCTATGGACAGCCTCCCCAGCTTCCCCCCTTGCCGTACGACGAGCGACATTTTGAGCACGTTTCAGACGACGGAAAACTTGTTTGCTTTTGGCGTCTCGGTGCCACTCTCTCCCTCTCTCTCTCTCTCTCTCTCCTTCTCTCTCTCTCTGTCTCTCTGTCATTGCCGCTCGAGTAATTCTCTTCTTTCATTTTGTTTGGCCATCATATTTTATGTGCTCCTTAGTTAACGCCAATGTCGATGTCGATGTCGATGTCTTTCCCTCTACCTCCCTCTCACCCACTCTCTCTTTCTGTCTCTCTTACTCTCCACAACTATCTCCCTCTATCTCTTGGTCATATTTACATATTATTAAAAAGTTTTCCGAAGCTCAGACAACATTAAAAAAAAAAAAGAACAGGGAAAAAGGAAAGATTCATGTACCTCAAAAGTCTCTCGACTTTAAAGTATCCAATATCATCCTATATATAATTGTAAAAAGTAAAACTCTCTTGTCTCTAAAAACTATGGATCCTATAACAATTTCTTTGATTTTTTAAATATATTTGAAATAGCTAAACCCTCTACCAGGCATACCCTCTCGATACCCCTTGAAAAAAGAGCGATGAAAAGTAAACTTTTCTATTTTCCCTGCCTCTGGACTCTGAAGTTATTGAAAATTCATGAATAATTGACATTTATTGCAGTTGGCACAAATGATGGTCGATAATGGAGGGTGTTGCTCCTCCTCTGGGCTCCCTCTGTCCTGTAGATTCTGTGTGTGTCTGCATTTTATAGACATAAATATTAAAGTAGCTTACGTACTTAATTGTAAATTATGCATTCAATTAGTTATGCCAGGCTGCCCCCAAATGCCATTCACAGAGCGTGCCCGAGAGAGAGCTCCTCTATCCTCTCTCTTCTGTCTTCAATTAAATTTTGAATATTGTTACGGCACCTCCTTCGAGTCCTTCCCATGGCTAATAATAGTAGTGTCAGCTGCAGGATACTTCACTTCTCTGTTCGCTCAGTCGTGAACAATTTGCTCCAGTTTATCCTTTTATCATATTTCTGCAGCCAGTAGCCAGTGGGAGCATCCATCAGGTGTATCCATCGGGTGTCCGATTACTACTACCATAATCGTAAACTTTTCCAATGATTTTGCAATGAGGCCTGGCCTTTGGCTTAGATACATTCTACAGCACTTTCTTTGGCACTTTCTTCGGCACTTTCTTTGGCGCTTTCTGGTTGTATTTTCTGTTTAAATTTCTGCGTTCTGTCAAAAGCATTTTCCGGCTAAATTAACTCGTAAATGACTCTTGAGTTCGCCGGAAACTTCCTGTGAAGGCCGGCCAGCAGAATGCTTAATTCCGTAATTGAATTACGTTCATAATTGAAACAAAAGGCATTGCAACATCAAAGCTTGCTTCCTGCGAACTTATTTGCTTATGCAAATGATGGCGGTATTTATTAGAGGATTTTACCTTGAATTTCAGTTTAATAATTCAAACAATGGGAATCTATTTTCAGGTTGAATGTCAGACAAAAGTATTATTTCTATTGAAACAATGAATGCCACCTATAGATTATTGTGTTTCTGTGGCAGAGCATCATTTATTGATGCGAGTATTCATATATTTTGTACATAATCTATATCTTAAGATGGCAGCATTCAAATCTTAAAGTTCAATTAAATTTAAT